ACCTTATGTTCCTCATTGAACCCAAATTTCAAGAAATTCGCCAGGTACACTACTTTGGTTATATCGGGAGACTCAACCGAATTCCATCTGAATCTTTCCTTTATGATATCCTTCAACAGAATGTGCCGCACAAAGGTCGCCTCACATTCAAGGCACCATGATCTTTGAGATATCGCACTATATATCTTGACATACCGGTGTTCCTAAGGCCATCGAAAAGTGTTCGACAGCCCACGACTTGTTTCGCTCTTCTCGGCTCACCAGATAGACGCAGCCTTATGTTACAAGTGAGACAACCTTGGCTAGTTTCGTGAAATTTGGTTTCAAGTAGAACATAAGGTTGACAGAAACTCGGGAACTGCGCCTACCTGGTGAGCCCCAAGAAGGGCGAAACCGGTCGTAGGCTGTCGACAAATTTTCAGCAACCTTATGAGTAGTGCATTTCGAGTACACATGAGTCGCGATATCTCGAATATCGTAGCGACCGGAACATGAGGTGGCCTGGTGCAGCACGTTCAGTTGCCTGGAAACATCACAATCTAGAGATTCAGCTGGGTTCCAGGTGAGTCGGAAGGAAAACCAAATTAGTTTGCAAATGAGTGCATTTCGTTTTGGTATGCGTTTGTCGTCCGTTTTGTTTTACGCGTTCTGCCAAGCATGTGTGGAGCACACTCGGTCCTCGTTCTTGGCCAGTTCAAGAACTTCAGCGTTCGGGTTTCGATTATCATGCTGATTGCGAAGGATCTTGCCAGGGCGTGAAATTTGTCAGCCATTCTAAAATGCTGTCACTGAAGCGCCCGCTTCACTGTCGTCATCATCATCATCATCATCATCATCATCGACAGCATGACATTAGTGTACAACATCGATGCTTCACTGCCGTATATCGTCCAGGTGTAGTACCCTTTTGGTGCCTAGCTTCCATGCCACCCGGAGGAAGGACGAGGGCTGGGATACTGCCAGACTGCCCAAGCCTAGATAGGGGAAGTCGAGAGGCAGAGGTCAGGTTCGAACAACGGCCCTTCCGGTCAGTATATTCGCGCTCTAACCACTTGGTCTATCTCGGCCCCGCACTTTGTCTCATTGTTGACGAAATAGGAAAGCGAACAATACTCACTGCGGCTAGCAGCTGTTGTTGTAGATAAACCGCCGCCTTTGGGCACGCGTCGTTAGAAAACTGTCTGATATAATGGTACGACAGACTTGCTTGACTTATCCTTCCAGTGGCAGTTTCCAGAACCTTCTGCATGATAATTCAAGTCAGGCAGGCGAAACTGTTTACTTGTGGTCTTCTTTTGTTGAAACCTGTTTCCACGACTTATCCGTTTGTAATCAGGCACCTGGTGTTTTACGACTTTCCGGTGTTAGGTGTTGTACAGCATAATAAATCTTCGTGTTTTCAGTATGAAGAGTTTTCTGAGGGCTACTGATCCTCTACATATTATCCACTGCCTCACTTCCAAAAGCCAAGTCTCTGTTGTTGTTCAAACAGACGCCACACGGAAGCTATGCACTTGTTTGAAGCTAAGCTAAAAATGACACGTGCATTAACTCACAGCTGCCTGTCTAAACTCAGTTTTGATCAACAAACGTTTCATGAAATGATCTCCCCAAATCCTAAAATGTTTTGAGTTGTACAGCACAACAGCATAACTCTTGAATGCTCGTCAGTTTTACTAAAACAATTACTTTCATCTCCTAGATGTCAAATCCCGCCCCACTCTTTTGGACATCACAAATTATCGTAAGCATGTGCTAACGATTTTCAGTCGCCTTACACATACTACTTTAGTCCTAAGGAGAAACATAAACATCTACTCAGTTAGCATGACGGTTACTCGGAATCTTTTTTCAACACTGACCTATCGACCGGGGTTAAGTTGCCAAGCCTTTGGTTTTTTCGTTGAGGCACACCAATGGGCACTTAAAATTCCATTTAGATTGCGTATAGAGACAAATACGCGGTAAGGGATGGCAACCAACGTCCGGCCTTGCACAAGCGTCAACGATTATCGGTCTTGTTGGAATTCACCGCTGTGAAGAACTGCAGTTGTCTGATAGCGGTTCGTGGGAAGACAACAGCCGAAGCACAAAACAAACAAGTACTAACTGAAATCAAAGCTAATGCATTTTAGGTCAGGTTGAACAACTCTTCCTTGTCGTCGTTTATCAGAAGTAACTAGACGAAATCACACATATAACCTCATCGTTTCATCATACTGATAATTTGTTTTCATCTATTGTGTTTTTTTTGATTGATTTGCGTGTGCTCACTTTGGTCGAATCACCACCATATATATATAATCCCCAAAGGTATATGTGAATAGGGACGAGACGGGAACAAACATCTATTGAAGGGACTAATCGCTGTGTGTGTGGGGGTGTGTGTGGAAAATACCATTATTTCGGAAAAACGCGTCGCTGAATCGGTAACGCAGACTTCTTTGTCCGGGGTATTGATCAGATTCGAATGATTAGATTTCACGAATAAAGCGGTTCGTGGCCTTTCTTCTGCGTTCGTGACGTGAAGGTAAGCCGTCGGAAGTCGAGTGGAATCCCCTATGTTTATTTGTTGTAGTATATTCCCAGTGTCGAAGAACATGGCCCACTTACCGATGGCTGGTTCAAACGTATGAACCGGGGGAAACCAAATCGATCACATTAGTCAGTAAACCGTCCGAAGCTGAACGTCAAAAGTCATAGATTAGTTAAGACAATTTTCAGCAACCTTGTGAGTAGTGCAGTACGCCTATACACGTATCGTGATATCTTGAATATCGTACCAAATGAAACATGAGGCGGCCTGGTGCAGCAATTTCAGTTGCTTAAAAACATCATTAACGAGGGATTCAGCTTGGTTCCACGTGAGTCTCTCGCAAAACCAAATTAGTTTGCAAATGAGTGTAGTTCATAGAATAGATGTTTTCAGCGTAAGCTCGGAAAGACATGTGTAGGTGGAGAAGAAAGCCTCCATCTGCTGTTGGCTTTTTACTGGCCAGAATACTAAGTGGATCAACGTAACTGTGCGTTTATCGCAGCCAATATGGATAGGCCATCACACACATTTTAGCAGCCATGTTTCTCTCAGGTAAACACGAGTTCGTCCATTACCTGTGTGACAGAGTAATAAACGCCTACTTAGAAGACACTATGATGGAGTGGAACTTATGAGATATGTGTTTTGATCGAATGGTTACGCAACGAAGTTTTCGGACGAAACTCCTCCAGCTGAGACCTTGCCAAGAAGTCGCACAGATGGCAAACTCCAAGTCAGTTTAGATCAATCCCCGGTTTAAAAGTG